TCCTCCCCAGTTCATTCTTCTTTCCCCACCCCCAGTGTCTGTTTTAATTGTCCAATTGCCACAGTGCTTGTCAAAGCCAGTTCTGATTAATCTCCTTTGTCAGTGTGTCCCTTGCCATTCCCTATCACTCCTCCCTGAAAGAGACTTCACCCTGATTCATAAGGGAAAGGGGATGGTGTATTCTCTTAGCTACTTCCTGCTGAAAAGGGACGCTGTGGGTTTCAGGGTGAAGGTCTTCTCTCACTACTCTAAAGGGCCCCTTTGGCAGTAGGAAACACATAGACTATTATGGAGATTGATTTCGGAATTTAGATGCACTGTTATCAATTGTGCTTAGCCTTACATGTTCATATCCTTGAAGATGTATCATGGAAGTGTTGCAGCCTAGAAGATACAAATTTAACTAACAAGTTAAAAGTGCATGAGTCAAAAATTGAAAAGCAATAATATTCTGAGTAGAGGTTCTAATAGTGGCACAAATCAAGTTACAGAGGTAAGGTGTTTCTATTGCCATCCTTACTCTAACTTAATTCTTTTTAAAAAAATTTAAATTTGTTATTAATTTCAGCGAAAATTTACAGAGGCTTTGGATTTCCATTCATTCATTGTTGTAGATGTGTCCCCTCCCAAGGCTCCCCCCCACCAGACATTACCCTCTTGGAAAAGAAAAAGAAAAGATTCTTTCATTATTTTACAAACCCTCCCCCAGGTCCACTCCACCATGTAGCCATCGCTCTAGACTCCTGTCATGACAGAAATACCTAATCACATATCTCTTTTAAACAGTTTTCTCCCTTGTCTGTTTCAGTGCAGTATACATTATTGAACCCATCTTTCTCAGTCTCTCCCCAACCCCAAGGACAGTCCCATTCTACAACAGTGGCACCATGCAATATTTGTCCTTTTGTGACTGGGATATTTCACTCAGCATAATGTTCTCCAGAGTTAACCATTTTGAATAATATTGCATGAGTTCCTTGTTTTTCAATGCAGCATAGTATTCCATTGTGTGAATATATGACAGCTTCTCTACCCATTCGTTTGTTGATGGGCATTTAGGTTGTTTCCAACTCCTTGCTATTGTAAACAAAGCTGCGATAAACATGGGTATACATATATCTACTTGGATGTCATTTATGGTCTCTTTAGGGTATATTCCCAGTAGTGGAATTGCTGGGTCAAATGGTATCTTTATTTGCAACTTTTTGAGAAAGCGCCACAATGCTTTCCACAGTGGTTGCACCATTTTACACTCCCACCAACAGTGAATAAGGGTTCCAGTTTCCCCACAACCTTAATGACATGCTTGAGCAATTTCAGACTCTTTCAGAAGTTTGTAGAAATTCTCAATTTTTAATCTGTGGCTTTGACTGTTGGTATTTAAATTTGAGAAGTTACTGTGTTAACAGATCTTTTGTGTGTGTGCATATGATCTCATCACTAGTAGCGTTGTACTTCAGAATAGATACTGGAGTGTTTTGGGTGTTTTTTCATAACGAATACAATGCCATTTCTGTTCAATTTTCTATTTAAAGCAAAGTAGACTATATTGTTATAAAATTCAAAAGAGTCAATATCAGTATTCTTTTCTAGCTCACTGTTGCCTGGAATATCAGTCTTGAAGTGGTCTATTTAATTTTGATAATTTTCATTATTTTAGATTTATACTTGATATTTTCCATTTATCAATTATTAGCAGATGTTTGCCACTATTTCTCCTCATTTTCAGTCATATCATACCAGCAAATAAAAAATCTTTTATTTGCTGAAGCTTTTATTTCATCCATGTCAATAAGGCATTTGAGTTATTTGAGGAGGTATCTCTTTCTCAGTTTAAACGTTTAAACTAAGGTTCTTATCTTGAGAAAATATATCTGAAAACAGTCCACTGCTGTTCATAATGGTCTTTTATTTCAGGATTGAAAGGCATCTCTTGCTTCCTAATCTGTCTTAATATGGAAGCTCCACTGAAACTTTTCCACCGTGGGTGAGTCTGCTGGCATTTGACATACAGATGACATAGCTTCTAGAACAGCAACATACAAACTACTACACTATGTCAAACTAAAAGATGAGTAGTAGATTAACATTTTACAACAGTATAATATTTAAAAATTCATAAACCAATACATTTTTAATAATAGATACATAAGTAATTTCTTCTTAATCTTATAGACTCCACTGATTTCCAAGTTACTTTGGTCAACACCTTTTCTTTCACCAGCTTTAGTGAAGATGTTAAATATATATGTAATGCATTTAGGCTTTTTAAATAACATTTTATATTACCTTTGGGTTCCGCAAACTACCAAAATGATTTTTAAGAAAATTTATTTGTACACATTAAGGCTTACTCTTTGCATTGTTTCTTTAAAAATGTATAACCCACTACTACAGCGTATTCACAATAGCCTAACATGGACTTTGTGTTTTCTTTATTCATATTTCCCAACCTCTACTACTAAGAATCATTTTTTTCCTAATTTTTATGGCTTTTCTTTTCCAGAATGCCATATAATTATAACTCCATGGTATTTAGTCTTTTCAGACTGACTTCTTAAATTTGTAATGTGTGTAAGATTTTTTTCATGTCAGTGTCCACTCATAGCTTAATAGATCATTCCCCTTACCCCCTTTAAATCATTGAATAGAGAATTTTGGTGTTCTAGTAGTAAGAAACTGTGCTGAAATCTCAAAGGCATGTGGTTCGAACCCACCAGCTGCTCCATGGGAGAAGGATGGGCAATCTCCTCCCATGGGATTAACTGTCTCTGGAAACCTGCCAGAGGGTCTACTTGATGGTAAATAACGACGATGATCACGGAATAATCCATGGTTTGTTTATTTATTTATTTACTTACTGAAGGATATTTTGATTGCTTCTAATTTTTGGTGTAAATATTAACATGGAGTTTTGTTTTTTTTTTTAATATGGAGGTTTTTAAGTGAACATGCTTCCAGTGAGATGTGTGGCTATCTAGGAGAATGTCTCCAGAGTGTATAATAAAACCATACTTACTTTGGAAGAAATTACCAAGCTCTTTTTCGAAGTGGCTGCACCATTTTGCATTCCCACAGCAATTAGTGTAAGTTTCTTTTCCTCTGCATCCTAGCCAGCCGCTAGTGCTCTCTAAGTTATATATTACTTTTAGCAATATTAGTTGGTAGGTAGCAACTTCTTATTTTTTAAATTTTTGGTTTTCTAATGGCGTCTATTTCCTAAATAACATCCTTCTGGAAACTCTATGAACTTTGAGAAATGACAATAGCTATAGAAAGGCTTTAGGTCTTTTGTACATAGGGCCACTATGAGTCATGCTTGATTCAATGACAATCAACCACAACAACAACAATAAAAAATGTTTAGTTGATTTTTATATGCTTGCTTGTCAACTAGATGCCTTCTTTTGTGTGGTATTTATTAATATTTCCCCCATTTTGTAATGAGAGTCTTTGATTTTATGTTGTCAAATTTTAAGAATTGTCTGTATATTTTACAAAATGAGTCTTTAATCAGATACACAATTTGTAAGTATTTTCTTGGAGTTGTGGCTTATTTTGATTCTCCAAATTTTTTTCACAGAGCAGCCATTTTTTAAAGTTTTTGTTTAGTTTTGTTTTTTCAGAGTAGACATTTTAAAGCTTAATAAATGGTCATAAGTGTTTTCTTTCATGCATTGCACTTTTTGGTTTTGTGTCTAGAAATACATTAGCAAACTCAAGGCCATGTATGCTTTTCTCTGTAATTTCTTTTAGAAATTTTGTGTGTTTACATTTAGGTCTATAATTCATTTTTAATTCATTGCTATGAAATAATGAATAGTGTGTAGTGGTTTACCAGGGTTTTGCTGCTATGTGCAATTGAGTTGACTATGACTTATAGCAATCCTGTGAATAATGGCTCTGAACCTTTCCCTACCCTGAGCTAACCTGACCCGATTGCCACAGTCACTGCATCAAGCCCCCTCATCCAGGGTCTTTCTCTTCTGTACTGACCATTAAACTTCTAAGCATGATGTCCCTTCCCAAGGCCTAGTCCCTTTTGGCAGCATGCTCAAAGTATGTGAGAGGGTGCTTCAAAATCCTTGCCCTCTGTGAGTAGCGTGGTTTCACGCTCTCCAGGACAGCCCTGTTTGTTCTCTTGGAAGTTCATGGTACGTTCAATACTCTCCTCCAGCACTGCAATTCAAAGGCATCCATTCTTCTTTTATTATCCTTAGTTATTGTCCAGCTCTCAGATGCATACCAAACAATTGAGAAGACCATGGTCTGAGATTTATAAAATTTTAAGTCTGAAGACATTTTGTCTAATTTGTATCATGGATGGAAGAAATAAAGCTTAGAGAACTTCAAAGAATTGCTCAGATTTACACAACTGTCATAACTGAAGTTCAGTCCCTGTTTTGAATTCTTTATTCTCAGTCCTTTTTTTGGGTGTTTTCTTTTGTTCTTAATTTTTTATTGGTTTGGATATGATTATTAATATACACCATGTTTTGTATTTTATACATTTATATATATATTATATAATTCATTATCATTGATTTATACTTATTATCACCCCATGTTTTCAAGTTCCCTTGAACATTTCTTGTTCCTTCACTCCCATCATCAACCTCTACAACCCCAGAGATTTTTTCTGCCTTCCCTCTCTCCTTTCCCTTCTTCTTTTGAATATTTATTCATATCTTGTTCAGTTACCATATTTTAATAATAGTGGTCTTAAAACTCCTCTCGGTTCTTAAAAATTTTTTATTGACTCTCAGAGACTAAAGTTGCATCAATTTACCCTGAATTATACACTGCCAATTTTTTTATTACATTGATATGTTGTCCCAATGTTGTTATTGAACACTACTACTATGTCCTTGTAATATTAAGTGAGATAGTAAAGGGTTCTCAGAGGGGGCTGAGGAAATGATTTCAGAAAAGTTTGTGGATCCTGTGATGAACGTGTCTATTTTCTTCAGCAGGTTCACTTCTATTGTCACACCAAGCCGATGAATCCAGCCAACCATTCTCAAGTGACAGGTTTTGTGCTTCTGGGGCTCTCTCAAATATGGGAACTTCGAGTCTTCTTTTTCACTGTCTTCTCTGTTGTGTATCTTATGACTGTAACTGGAAATCTCCTCATCGTGTCTGTAGTAACCTCTGACCCACGGCTGCATACAACCATGTACTTTCTTTTAGCCAATTTATCTTTCCTGGATTTCTGCTATTCTTCTATTACAGCACCTCGGATGTTGGCTGATCTGCTCTCAGGCAACCCCACCATTTCATTTGGTGGCTGTTTGACCCAACTCTTCTTTTTCCACTTCATTGGTGGCATCAAGATATTCCTGCTAACTGTCATGGCCTATGACCGTTACGTTGCCATTTCCCAGCCCCTGCGCTATACGCTCATTATGAACCAGACTGTCTGTGGATTCCTCATGGCAGCTTCCTGGCTGGGAGGTTTTATCCACTCGATTGTCCAGGTTGGACTGACTATCCAGCTGCCATTCTGTGGGCCTGACAAACTGGATAACTTTTATTGTGATGTCCCTCAATTGATCAAATTAGCCTGCACAGATACCTTTGTCTTAGAGCTACTGATGGTGTCTAACAATGGCTTAGTGACCTTGATGTGCTTTCTTGTGCTCCTGGGTTCTTATTCAGCACTCCTATTCATGTTACGAAGCCACTCAAGGGAGGGTCGAAGTAAGGCGTTGTCCACCTGTGCCTCCCATATTGCTGTGGTGACCTTAATCTTTGTGCCTTGCATCTATATATATGCAAGGCCATTTCGGACTTTCCCAATGGATAAGGCAGTCTCTGTACTGTACACAATGGTTACCCCCATGCTGAATCCTGCCATATATACCCTGAGAAACAAGGAAGTGATCATAGCCATGAAGAAGCTGTGGAGGAGACAAAACTTCCTTCTTAGTCCCCCAGAACATTGACCCTCCACAGACTGACAAATCAGAGTCCGGAGAGATGCCTTAAGGTAAGAAACTACTTAGGAGAACCAATGACATAATTAAAACTATTTGTCCACTGCTTCTTGGTTATTATTTACCTTCATTAAATTCTTGTTATCTGAACTCTTAGCTAAATAAGAGCCCAATATGAATGTCCTAGAACTTCTGACAAGTCTTTCTTAGAGAAAAATCCTCAAATGTTATTGCTTAAGTTATCACTTGTTCTCAAGGCACTTTGACAGATGAGCATGATGTTGGCCTTGTATAGAAAGCTTCAACAACAGCATGCATGAGGTAGTGATGAATCTGATGTTTCTTTCTTGACAGCACTTCTTGCTTTCAAAATATATTGGAGGTAAAAGTGTCCTTGATTTAAAATAGAGGTAGGATCCCGAATCCGAGTCCTATTTTCAAGAGGCTGATTTGTTTAACCAACTATCAGAAACCAATTAGTTCAGAAAAATTACTTTCTTCTACAAAGTTTCTTAGTGATATCATCATTATGGAAAAGTTGAGTGTCAGCAAAGGAGAGTAAGACCCTCAATGAGATGGATTGAGAGGATGACTGCAAAAATGGATTCAGCAATAGAGCTTGCAAGGATGATGCAGGATGAGACAAGGTTTCAATATGTTGTAATAGGGTCTCTATGAGTTTACATCAACTCCATGGCACCTAACAACAACAACAACGTCAACAAAGTCATCACATAAATCAGCACTGTCATCATAAAGTTAATATTTGTTTCAGAGTTTTCTATATAGGAGTATTGCACTGTTTTACACTTAAATTTATTTAAATTCTATCAATACTATGTATCTAAAATTCATTGTAGTCTGTCTGTGCCTATGTGCTATTGAGTCAGTTTTTACTCACAGTGACCCTATAGAGTTTTGAGTGCCTCGTGGGTAAGGCACCACACTGCCAACCCAAAGGCAGGCAATTCAAATCAACCACCTGTTCCACAGGAGAAAGACGAGTAATCTCCCCTGTGATTTCCAGTCCCTGATGATCATGTGAAGGTCAGCTATTAATAGGTTTCAACACCACAGCATAATGACAGTGTAGAACTACCTTTAAGAGTTTCCTAGGTTGTAATTTTTATGGAAGGAAAACCTTGGTGGAATAGTGATTAATATATTTGGGCACTCACCAAACTCTTGACAACTTAATATCAATAGCTGTTCTATCTAGAGCACTAGTGGCTTAGTGGTAAGGGGTTGCACTGTCAATCCAAAGACATTCAGTTCAAATCCACCAAGTGCTCCTTGGGAGAAGGATGGGCAATCTCCTCTTATTTAATTGACTGTCTCTGAAAAGTTGCTAGAGGGTCAGCTATGAGTTGACTCTTATGTGAGAGTACATAACAACAACAGCAAGCTATTCTATGAGGCAAAGAGGTGGTAGTGCCCTCTTCAAAGATTTGCTCTTGTTAGGTGCCATCTATCTAATCAAGTATGACACAAAAAGACCCGATGGACATTAGGTTTGAACCTTGTCCTATCCTATGCCATCCTCACAATCTCTGAAATTCCTGAGCCCATTGTTGCAGTCAGTGCGTCAATTCATCTGGTTGAGGTTTTTCCTCTCTTTCATTGACCCTCCACCTTTCTAATGATAATGTTCCTCTTCATGGAATAGCTTCCCTAGCAACATGCTCAAGTATTTTTATTTATTTATTTTTTTATGCTCAAAGTATTTGAGATGAAGCTTTGTTATTTTTACCTACAAGGAGCACTTTGGCTGCATATTGTCCAAGACATCTCTGTTTGTTCTTTTGGCAACCCATTGGGGTATTCAGTATTCTTTTCCAACACCAAGTCTTTGAATTGGTCAAAGATACCAATTCTTCTGTCATTCTTATTCATTGTTCAGCTCTCAGATGCATAGCAAGTGACTGAGAAGACCTTGGCTTGAATCAAGCTCACCTGACTCCTCAAACTGACATCATTGCTTCTCTATATTTTGGAGTGGTCCCTGATTGCAGACTTTCCCAATATTATATCTCCTGATCTCCAGACTGCTGAAATCAAGCATATTGATTGTGGATCCAAGTAAGATAATGTGATTGATGACTTTAATCTTTTTTCCAACTGTCATGCTGTTGTCTATTGATCCAGTGGTGAGAATTTTCTTGATGTTAAGATGCAATCCATATTGAAAACTGAACTCTTTGATCTTCTGCAGCAAGTGCTTTAAATCTTCACTTTCAGCAAGCATGGTTGTGCCATTTGCATAATGCAAATTATTGATGAGTCTTGCTCTGGTCCTGATGGCACATTCTACTTTGTAAAGTCCAGCTTCTCAAATAATTTCCTCAGTGTACATATATAGAGAAAGGATACCACTATGACAATACACCTTTCTCAAATTTAAATTATTTCATATTTGTTTGGTATGTGAAGATTTACAGTCTTAGAAATCCTATGGGACAGTCTAGCTCTGCTCTGTAGGGTAGCTATAAGTTGGAATCATGTGGTTTCGGTTTGGTAATCTTCTTGGGAATCGATTGCCAAATCTTTTCTCTTGCAGAGTTGCTGAGGGGTTAAAATTGCCAACTGCATGGTTAGTAGCCAAGCTCTTAAACACTTATGCCACCAGGGTCCCTTAACTTCTTGTAAGTTTTACTAAGCATGCTGAAAGAGTGGCTACATCTATTCTTTTAAATTAGTCTGAGCCATGTGTGGTTGAGCGAATCAGGCTGATTGGATATTGAGGTTTAAGAAATGGAATAGGAAATTACTGGTTAAAAAGTTAACATGCTTTCACTTATTCTATGAAATTGGGTTACAATTTTTGAAAGAAGGTTAGAGAACTAAGGGGGGATTAGGCTAAGGTATTTGAAGCCCAACCTGCAGGCAAGATATTTTACTACACCTTTACTCAAAAACTTACTGCTTTAAATTTGGCTGTCTTTATGATTGTGCAGAGTCAGTTTCTTGTTTTGATGGTTCCTCATTTTCTATTCTTAAATAAGGTGTAATAACTAACAGGTGAGACCTATGTTTCCCTAACAGCTCTGGGTAAATATCAGAGAAAGTGAAGAAATGGCCATAGCATTATTGTACATCATCATTTTGTTTCTTTCTAACATTTTAAAAAAACTTTTAGTCCTACCTTCATTCAGGTTCTTTTCTACAAAAAAATATGTCATAGAATCTGAAAATTTTTATATTCACTTTTGCCCCTAAAAGGTCTATAAAATTTTATTCTGGTGGCCTAGTGGCAAGAAGCTGTGCTACAATCCCAAAGGTACACACTTCAAGGCCACTGGCTATTCCACAGGAATAGGATGGGCAGTCTCCTCCTATATGATTAACTGCCTCTGAAAACCCACCAGAGGGTCAGCTGTGGGTCAGTTCTGACTCGATGGTACACAACAATGATAGTTATTTAATTAATGAATTATGCATTTCAGAGACATGGAATGGGGAAAGCAAAACTTTCAAGCAAATGTGCTGCCATTTTATCACTAAACTATTACCTATTATTTATATGTTGGTAAATTAATTACTCTAAGAGAAATTCCTTTATAATGCAATAATCATCTGAGAAAAAAGAAGCATTTAGAGTACAGGATCTGGATTACGTATCAAATTCCAAATTGGATAAGCATAGGTTTTGGAAAAGTAAAATTGGAATATTGAAAGATAGACTAAGAATATAGAAGACATTCACACTGTTGAAAGAGAAATTTTACTTTAATAAAAAGAGAATTTTGTAATAAGAAAATACAAGTTATTTCTTTCCCAACAGTCCAGGTTAGCAGCAAGAGCCTATTCTCTTACCATTGTATCACAAATATATTTACTGGTACCCATATGTCCAAATAAAAAGTTGATTATTTTTAATAACTGACTTGACCTTCCTTATAACCTGTTCTCATCTATGCTACATAATTGCTTTTTAATTTTTCTAAATTCTAAGTTTATAGCTCTCCAATTGACTGTCTCCACCTTTAAAATGTAATTAATTCTCTCTGCTTAAAATTCTCCCAGTGTCTTTTACTACCATTAGAACAACAACAGCAGTGAAATTTATAAAAGAAATACAGAAGAATATTATCAGGCCTATGCCCATGTCTCCAATTAAATTCTTTTTTTTTTTTACTTACTTCTTTTACACTTTGCCCGGTTAACTCGTGCACAGTCTCAAATCTCAGTGTAGAGGTTGTTTCCTCAGATGTAGGCTTGCTGACTACTAATCTGAAAAGAATTCATCTTTCCATAAAAACATTCATCATAAATTACAACTACAGATGTATTTGTGCATTTAATTGATCTTTTCTGCCATTCCCACTATAACATAAGTTCTATGAAACAAAGATTCAAATAGACCTTATTTATTTCTGTATGCTTAAGCCTAGTTTATGTTTCTTTTCTACCTCAGCTCTTTCTTCTGTTGTTATTCTTATTGTTAAGTGTTGTCAAGTTGACTAAGATTCAAAGGGATTCTGTGAAAAACTCATAGGGACTCTATAGAAATTCATAGCAACTCATAGATCCTTGTTTTATCCTACAACATCTTCATCATCTGTGACATACTTGAGCCCACAGCAGCAGTCATTGCATTAATCCATCTCATTGAGGGTCTTCTTCACCTTTGCTGACTGACCCTTCATCCTTCCAAACATGATGTGCCTTTCCAGGGAACAACCTCTTCTGACAACATGCTCAAAATGACAAAGCTTTGCCATCCTTGCCTCTAAGGAACCCTCTGGCTGTACTTTCTGTAAGACATATCTATTTGGTGTTGCTTGCTTGTTCATTGGGGTGGGTGTGCACATGTGTGAAATGGTTTTAAGGCCACACATTGTGTTTCATAAAATTAATCATCATTCATCTGTGCTCACCATTACTCTATCTTTTCAGGTCCCTTCTCTGCTCCCTGCATCATTCCATTCTTTGCCCATAAGAATCCTTCAGTTTTGCAACTCAAGGCTTGAGTTTTGTTCTTCAGTTCTCTAAGTTTTAGAAATTCTGAA